CCTGGCTCCCCCTCCCCCAGGAGCCTGCAGACATGTTGGGAGCCATTAGGGCTGGCCCCGCTTCGCTCAGAGGCATGTTCTTCATTATCTGCATTTTTAAAAGCAGCAATAAAAAGCAGAAAAATGAAAAACACCGGCCGTGGCCTAATGAAACTGTCATTCAAAGGGGCTGCTCGCGCTTCCTGCCGCGTGGTGTGATCTGAAGGGAACCTGGACCAGGGGCCTGTCCCGGCAGCCCATCAAACGCACCGCGTACAATTTCAAAGCCCATGGCCCGGGGAGTGAGTTTGCGTTTCCCCTCGCTGGAAACTTTATTCCCCTTGAAATGATGAAATATTTCAGAGGAAATGGGGAAGGGGCGGCGGAGGGAGCAGCGGGGACGGGGGCAGGGGGAGGGTTGTTTGCTGAGCCCTGGTTGTAAAACAAGAAAGGGTGGTTATAAATATCCGAGCAGGTACCTCGGCTGTAAATCTGCTGGCTGGGCATCCCCGCAGCCAGAGCACAATCCCACAGTGTTCCCGTGGCCAGGCTGGGGGCCAGGAATCCCCTGGAGGATGTGAGAGCCAAGCTGGCCCCTTCCTGCAGAGAGGGGGTGCAGAGCTGCAGGGGATGTGAAGGGTGTAGGTCTGAGGGGGGGAGTCTGAGCTGGTGCCCTCCCTAAAATCACCATGTTTGATTTCCCCCAGGGAAGGTGGGCTAGAGATGAGCTCATGGGGAGACCCTGGAACAGGTTGCCCAGGGAAGCTGTGGCTGCCCCATCCCTGGCAGTGTTGAAGGGCAGGTTGGATGGGGCTTGGAGCAACCTGGGCTGGTGGGAGGTGTCCCTGCACATGCAGGGGGTTAGGACTGGATGATCTCAAAGGTCCCTTCCAACCTAAACCATTCCACAGCTCTAAGATTGTATGTACCAGCTCTGGTAGGAGGTGCCTCCCCAGCAGACCCAGTGCACAGCTTGGGTATAAAGAGGGAGATTTTGGCCAAGCCCACAAAGATAAGCCATTTTGGGAACCCCTGAATCCCACCCTCCCACCTGTGGTACCCAAGTGCTGAGACCCTCCTGCAAACAGACCCCTCCTGAGCACCCCCAAATCACAAGATGCTCCAGAGAGCAGCTCTCCCACCCCCTGCACCCAGCAGGCCAGGAGGACCATTTTGGTGCCAAACCCCCCCCAAATCCTCACACCAACACACACAGCAGCAGCACAGGCACAGGGATCTCTGTCCAGCAGGAACCCACCAACAGATGCACCCCAGGGTCCCCAAGTCTCCATTGGATGCCCTGAGCATCCCTCAAGCCAGCAGGGAGCAGCCAGGGGTTTGGGGGGGCTCCTCACCCCGAGGATGGAGCCGTCTTTGGGAAGCACTGAGGGTTTTCTGTTCAGGCACAGCAGGACCTCGGGAAGCCAAAACCTCTCTCTTGCTTCCAATTCCTTTTTCTTTTTTATTTTGCAATAAGAACTCAAATGTCTAGAGCAATTTGTGGACTTAATCACTCCCCGAATGTAACAGTTTTTTAAATCAAATCAGCTGTTCAACAGCTCAAGCATCTGAAACCAGTAAAACTTCTATCTCTGTTTGATGTTTTACAATTTGAAAACACACAGAGGAAAAGGACAATTCTGGGGGCGGTTGAGTTGTCAGGTTGTTGGGGTTTGGGGCTGGTTTTTTTTGCAAGACAATTGTTCCTGAGCCGAGGCCCTGCAGTGCCAAGTTGGAACAGATCACCGTGGCCAAGTCTGTCCCCTCTGTGTCCCTCCCTGAATGCTGCCAGTGACAGCGACAGGAACAGTTTAGAGCGTGGAGACGTTCTCCATGCTCACCCCTCTCCCTCCAGCAGCATGGAGGCAGGCAGGGACAACCTGCAGGGACAAGCTCAGCACTGCCAACCTTTCCCCAGATGTCCCCTCCAGCATCCCCAGAGCCACTTTCCTTCCCTGTGCTGGAGCAGCAACGCATCTCTGCACCCTGCAGGTACCCACAGCCTCCCACACACACGCACTGAGCTTCTCAGATCTCAGCAAAGCCAAGCACCACATCCTCAAAGCTTTTAAAACCAAAAACTACCTTCATCAAGCCAAGAGTGAGTTGCCCAGGGAGGAAGACGAGCCATCCCCCACCCCAGCCCATGTCCCCACAGTCAGGTGATGGCTGTCACCTACCTATGCACGTCACCCCATCTGAGTGGAGCAGAAACTTGACGTGGCAGCCACACTTGGGGCCCTGGTCGGTGTCATCACAGGTGTGTTGGCAGCCCCCGTTCCCATAGTTGCAGGTCACTGCAAAAGGCAAAGCACCAGCTGTCACCTTGACCTCAGCCCATCTCCTCCCCACCCCAGCATTCCCAAACATAAAGCCAGCTTGGAAAAAAATCATCCATATTCTAGGAGAGATCACTCCCTCCTGGATCATTTTTAAAGCCCTTCAACCTTCCCTGCAGGATCTTGGTAAACATGAAGTGTAATGTGGTTTTCCCCTTTGCTAAATGGCACCAGTGGACCCCTGTAACACCAGATCCAGGGACAGCCCGCCGGGCTGCTTTCCCCTGTCCCTGGATCTGGTGTTACAGGCAAAGGGTGGGACTTTCCCGAGCTCTGGAATGACTCAGGTGCTCCTGGAAATCCCTACCAGCCCTTCCCAGGAGGCAAGGCGTGCTGCTCCTTTAGCTTGGAGGGAAAATTGGCTCACAGGATTAAAACTCCATTTCAGCAGCGATTTGACATGTTTGTTGCAAACAGCAAATGAGAAATAAAATAAAAATAATTGCATCAACACATGCATATCTTGCTAATAACCCTGGCAGGGCCAGCAAGATGCTGGCAGGAGATCACAGGCTGAAAGCACCACATCCCCCAGGGAGAGGATTCCTGCGCTCCTCCCGTGCCGAGCACACTCGCCCTGCTCATCTCCCAGTGGAAAAGTAAAGCTGGTGGGATAGAGACAGGGAATGCTGCACCTCTGGGACCCCCTCTTGCACCATCTCAGCCCTCTCAGTGCAACGGCCTGATGTCTCATGGCAGAGGGAAATGCCAAGAGCATCATCTGCAAGGGCAATAGAGGCAGAGCTGGGCACGTCAGAGGAGAATGAAGCCAGAGGGCTTCAGGCTCAATAAATCAATGAGTACCAAGGGGGTTCAGGGCTTTGCAGCAGGGCCAGGAGGGGTCTGTACCAAGGGGACAAGGTCAGGGGTCCCCAGAGGCCATGTCCCCAGCCCTGCAGTGCTCCTTACATTTGCAGTCGCGCTGGTTCTTGGTGAGCTCAAAGCCCGGGCGGCACTCGCAGGCGATGCCCCCCTTGGGGGTCTCCCGGCAGATGTGGGCACAGCCATGGTTCTTGTTCATGCAGTTCATTCCTTCTAAAAGAGAGAAGGGAAAGAAGAGAAGCTCCAAAAGCTTGAAGGCACCAATCCACAGCCACAGAAGGGTGTCTGGAGTGGGACAGGGATGGGGAGATGGGGGCAACGAGGGGAAATCCTCACAAGTGAGGAGCTTAGTGGGGACAGGATGTCCCTGGGCACTGCCCTTGAAGGGTAGAACCTCCAGAAGGTGGACAAAGCCACCCTGGAGCCTTGAGCCTTTGATTCCTTCCCATTGCCTTGGGTAAGACCCTGCTCCCACACCTCAGGAGCCACTGCTGCCCACCAGCCCAGCCTGGCACTGAGGGGATGAAGCCATGCAGCTCCTTTTTGGAAGACAAGGAGTTGGCGTGAGCATGGTTGTGATTACAGACCCTGGGCAAGCAGCTCTGGCACTGTTCAGCAGAGCAAGGAAGGGTTTTGGGGGGGGCTGAGCCAAGGCTGTTCCACCAGGATGAGCCCTGGGGCCATCATGCCTGAAATCTGTGTAACGAACTGACAGGTCAGGGAGGATCCACATGCTGGCAGCCCCTGGGGACTAGGGTTTTTGGGAGCTGCTGGTTCCCAGTATCAGAGCTGCCATTTCACCCTTGCTGACCCATCCACAGCCCCCTCTGCCCCCAGCATCTCACAGGGACAAGGACATCCAGCTGCAGGATGCCGGGTCCAGCGGATGTCGAGTGGGGCATTGACAGGAGTTTATAAGACATTGAACAGAACCAGCAGCAAGGCAGGGAGAGCCCCCCAGGAGGTGCAGCTGCCTGCTCAGGGCAGAGGGAGGGGGCTGGCCCCATCCCAGGCCCCCAGTGCCAAGGCCACCATGGGGTAAGCAATGCCAGAGTCAGGATGGAGGGAACCAGGCAGAGCTGCAAGCCTGTGGGCTGCCAAAAGCCTGGGGCAGAAGGATGAGGGATATTCATCTCAAAGGAGGATGCTGAAATGCACCAACCATGCATGGGAAGGGTTAAAAAACACAGGCTGGAGTCTGTGGGTGCCCCAGGTTGCTCCCCATCACCTTCCCTGCAGGTCCCTCCTGGGACAGGGCCATCATCTGTGAGTGGAGTGGCAGGGCAGCTC